CATTCCTGATGGATGGATGGGATTAGACATTGGTCCAGACTCTGTGAAAACATTCAACGATGCGCTGGACAGCACACAGACAATCATCTGGAACGGACCTATGGGAGTCTTTGAGTTTGAAAAGTTTGCAGCTGGAACAGAGGTGAGATGCAGCGTGTGTGGAGAGATTTGGATGAATTAGGATTTGAGAGAAGTTGAATAAAACTTGTGGTTTGCAGGCGGTTGCCAGGAAGCTGGCAGAGCTGAGTGGGAAGGGAGTGACAACAATCATAGGAGGAGGAGACTCAGTAGCGGCTGTGGAGAAAGTAGGAGTGGCTGGAGTGATGAGCCACATCTCCACTGGCGGTGGCGCCAGTTTGGAGTTGTTGGAAGGCAAGGAACTTCCCGGTGTCATCGCTCTTGAGGAAGCAGTTCCTGTCGCTGTCTGAGAGACTCTCCCTCTCCCTCTGTCTTCTTCTTTTTGTGTAGCATCTTATCTTCTCTTCTGCCCTGCAGCTTGAGTTTATAGACAGCTAATGAATGCTGTAGGAAGAGAGATAATTGCGTTTCTTCTGCCTGTAAATCTTCTCTCTTGGCCATTTGATGTGAGGAGGTCAATTGACATATGTAATTGTTGTAATAAAATCATTCGCCTGAGGCCGCTCCCACTCAATTTTAAATCCAGTGACCTGTGAAGCCACTCAGGTCGATGGATGTTTCACATGTCTGGATATTTTGGAACTGAAACTGAAACCAGAGGCGATATCAAGATGATCAGACCAGGCATGTCGCTGTTGGGAAGAAACGATGGGCCCGAGCAAGTCTCAGAGCCTTTTGATATTGTTTGCATTCAACGAGTGAATGATAATTGCCCCAAACTACAGAGGGCGGAAAAGGACAATCTCGACACTGGAAACTCCTGTCATATAAAGGATAACAAGCCCTTTTTAACACACAAATGCCTGCAACAAAACAGAATGACAGACGTCTGAACCACATTATTATTTGACGAGGATGTATGAAAGTTAAAAACCCACAATAAACAGACATTTCCAGTAAATCCCTTAAATGATTCTACAAAAGATCAGAGGAATATCTTAAGAAAGATTTCATAGATCAGGCGACCAATCAAGCAGCCCATTCACTTGTCTGATTCTGATCGACCGGCTGAGGTGGCCTCTTCACGACGCTGTTTTCATACAAATACTCCACAAATTCATCGATTAGGTATGGCCATGCCCCTTCCGCGTCATAATTTGACAAACCGGGCTCTACACTCTGCAAAGTTCAACATCCCACAAAGAACAAAATATCATCTCTTACCATCTGTACAAAGTCAGCTAAATCTAGTATCAGTAATCTCTACATATATATATATGTATGATGCAGGAGTGTGCAGTTAGGAGGATGCATTCTCAATACCCTTGCAAATTCCAGCAGCTGGGACCATGTATCCTTAGATATAGCCTTATTGTGACGAGCCTGATTCAGAACGAAAAAAACGTATCAGAAGCTCTGTTTTCTTAGCAAAGGCTTGGATTAGTATCCATGTCATCGATATGATAATCATAGGGCCTTTGGTAGTACCACTTGACCCCCTATAATAAATAAACGTTAAACCTAATGCTTCATGAAACCTTAGGTCAAATTCCTTAGGAATGGCAGGCACCAATGAATTCTAGGTACCTGCAAAAACTCACACCAGTAGTCAACCAATGGCCACTGTTTTTCAGCAAAGAGCAACTGCCACATCCCTATTGCTGTATCTATCGCCAGAGATTTCTGACCCTGAACCATTACAGTTAAAAGTACTTTGTCATTCACTAAGACATACGCTATTTAATTCAAAGCAAATAATATAGACAAAAGTGTCTGCTGTACCTTCTCTCTCGCCCAGCCAAAAGCAAAGTTATATATTTCACGGAACTTTTCTGAGCATATCCGAGAATACAAATCCAAAAACCAAAGAAATGCGTCAGGCAAAAGTAGGACTTAGAATATCTCACTGGATTGTAAAGCATATAAAAAGGAATTACTAAACTTCTTGTCTTACGTTCATCTTTTAGCTCAGAGCGCATGAAAGGCAGCTTTTCTCTAAACTTCTCGACTGAATCTACACTGCCATCACAGAATGAGACATTCATCAAACTCCACGTGACGAGATTCTCAAATCAAGTTATCTAAGTATCCTTACTGATTACACAACTGAACGGCATATACACTGTTATTGACTCACCCTAGGGCCTGCAATCCACCAATGAACTCCTGCTTGGAAAATTCACACATTGTGGCAGCTTGCATGTGCCATGAAACAACTAACTGAAATTATGGTAACCATCCAATTAATCAAGAATCCAGAAAGAGAAAACGGAAGGTCAGAGTCGAGAGAATATAAAAAAAAAAACAAAGGATGATATTTCCAAGTAGATAATGAAATTGATGGAGACTGAAAGGAATGCTTCATCTGACCACTATCATCAGAAGATTCATCCATGGAAAGATATCATCCTCTCATAGACTATCTGATCTTTCTTTATTTCTCTTTGGTTATGAATGTTGTTTCTTTACGTTATTCAGTCATAGTACTTAAGTCAAAGTTGGTGGAATCCGGTAGCCCAAGAATGAGCCATAACAAAGCATGCAGACTAGAAAGCAAGTTCCATAGAAAGGTTTCAGAATAAACATACCATGACTATGTCTTGGGGTTCCACCTAAATCAAAATTAAAATGGCACATGTTACTATTGCTTTGAGAAATAGTCAACAGAATCCTTAAACATCATTCATGAAGATGAAACCGGGATAGATACCTGAAGATCATTACAGAGTAGGGTGATACCATCGACATAAATCATCTCGGAATATGGATCTGCATAAAGTTAAGGATACTTTCAAGCAACCAAAAAAGAGAAGCTCAGCAAATGACAATGTCTTCCAGTATAGGCTTTATGCTGATATTACTTGGTTTCAACATAATAAATTTAAATTCACAAGACTAAGAGTAACTTGCCTTTATATCTATTGTAGAGCTCCTCTAAGCGTCTAATATCAGCATGACTTCTGATATGGGGCTGGCTGTAAAATATGTCAAAAGCTCCTTCGAGGTGCCAATCGCTTGCTTTCAAAGCCTGAAGTGCAGTCTTTTCGCTGCCAATTTATTCAACAATTCATCCACAAATCACCAAACTGAAATTTGAATATGAGTATAGGGATTTCCTTTTTCCCCTTAGATAACACCAATCTTACACTACATCAACCGGTTAGGCCTCTTTCACAAGCAATAAGATAAATCTTAGTTACCTAGCTCCTGTAATTGCGATGAACTGTTGAAGTTTGTCCCGATGGCCTCTCCCCAACTTATGCTGCAGAACAAAAAAGGATCATATACGCATACATCGATATAACCACTACAGAGCTATATGGTTGCTCAGCAACGTAAATCCCATTAAGAACGGATTATGATGCTTGAAGATTAGTGCAATAGTTGTTCCCTAGGCCCTAAAAGCCATGAACTTGTTCGTGTATCTTCTTGAACATGGAGATTCCGCATGATTCGTCATCTCTGTCGCCGTGTAATAAAGTATGGATCGAACAAACATTTCCAGCTCCGATTACTACGATAACTTGATAAAAAAAATTTGCATAAACCCAAACCAAAAGAACACACGAACAGAATCCGTATAGTAGAGTACTGATTTCACTAAACTTGAAAGGAAAAAGAATTAACTTTAAGATTCCAAAGCCAAGTTAACAAGAAAAAAGAATCGCAGAATAGATGGAAACCCATCTGAAATTCCAGAGGAAAAGAGAACATGTTAAAGAAATGGATAATCGGATTAGGCGAAGGGATTCAAAGAAAGCGCTTACCATTGTGAATAAGATTGGACGAAGCAACTCAAAAAAGAAAACCCTAAATGAAAGAAATCTAAAGAAGGGAGAAGAGGACGATCGGTAGAAGAAGCTGAAGAAATCTCAGGATAATCGAATGTATGGATTTGGTATGCGAGGAACAAAAGGGAAGACGAAGAAATGGTGTGCGAGAGAGTGCTTTCCACCGCCTCTCCCCCAAAATGCGAACAAGGAAACACCGTTTGTTATTTTTTGATTATTATGCAAAGCGCCCCAGTGGATATCTAACATAAAACCAAATGATTGATTAGAAAGAGATGCCATGCCACTGCTCAAAACGAGTCGATCTCGCAAACCAACTCGGAGGTTAATTCGAGTCGAGCCAAAAATATTTGAACCGAATAAAAAACGGGTTGAGTGAGCCAATTCAGTCAGTTGACATAAAAAAAAAGTTTGTACATGGATTAGAATAGGGTTTTTTACTCAAATGACCCACTTGGATCGCACATATTTCACGCGTACACCACAAAAAACATAACACATTAATTTTTTTTTTAAAAACGAAATTACCCTTAATGAATACACAATATTTATCCGTTCGAAAACAACTTCGTTATTACGACTTCGTAATTAATTCTAAATATAGTTACAATTAATTCTAAAAAGGTGGCAAAAAAATCATTTGTCTTATTTTAGTGCTATATCACTTATATGTTAGTAATAATAAGGTCGCAAAAAATAAAAAGAAAAAGGTATTTCGGACTTTTTCAACCGAAAAGTGGATTAAAATTGAAAAAAAAAATTTATTTTTTTTCGGTGGTGTACGCTGAAATACGTGCGATCCAAGTGGGTCATTTGAGTAAAAAACCCACTAGAATGTGATTGTACATGGATGAAATTAGGATCTGAAAATAATTTTTTGTATACGTATAGAATGTGATTTGATCTATTTAAAAATGATTTTTTGTACATAGATTGTGATTGTGAATATAAATATGATTTTGATGGATTGATATATTTTTTTTATGTTGATTTATCATTTGGATATGGTTTTATATAATTTGATATAGTTTTTTACATATTTAGAAAAATATGATACCGGTGAACCGGTTCGCGAACTAAACGACAGGAATTTTCTGGCCCCAATAAAAATGGACTTAATGAATTGGACTAATAAGCTGGTTCAAAACGAACTTGTCCAATCTGGTCCGAATGGGATCATTTGACATCCCTACCGTCAATGCCAACCCAATGAATTAATCTCCAAAACAAATTTACATTTTTCAAATAAATAATAATTATAATAATTTTAGTAGTTGGACCATAAATGGGCCTAATCGCTTTAAAGCCCACTAGTTGCTCCTGTGGCCCACCTCTGTGTAAATGGCAGCGAATCCATCGTTTCTCCGTCTTCCGTGAAACGAGAATAATGGCGACGACGATGGCAATGCAGCAGCTTCCCCAACGCCTCGTCAAGTCTCTCTCTTTGTGTTCTTCAACTCTTCACAACATCGCTTCTTCTCGCCCGAGAGGTCGGCTCCTCTCTCCCTCTCTCTCTTGGTGGCTTCTGTCTTCCCCCACGCTCAATAAACCTTTATCATCCATGGTGTCTGTTCGTCTACATGATTGAATATGTTCCTCGACTCGTCTAATAATCCTAGCTCTATAACTTCCATACTGCTTATTAGTTCATCTTTTCTGCTGTTTTTAGCATTAACTGTGCTTTTCCTAGAAAAAAAGGGGATGTTTAGATGTTGATGACATGGGTATTTCGGTGTTGCTTTTCGTATGTTTACCATATTGTCTCCCATTCACATTCCAAATGTTTGGCTTTAAAACTGTCGGACCTCGCTCTGTTCAGACAATGTTAAGGTTTTTCTATCGTATCTGTGCCCGCTTGTTAACACAAGTAATTATGTGCTTTCCCTTGTGCAAATCATGGAGCTTTTGAGCTGTCTCCTTCAATATTCCGAATTGTCTCCGAGTTTAGGAATGAAGTTGGCTTTTGGCTAAATGTTTATGTGGGTATATCGATAACTACTCGGATCTTGCATCTTTAGCCTTTTTGATTTCCAAGGCGAAAGTTATAAGAAGAAATTGTTTTTTTAATGATATGGGTGTCTAGGTGTTGCTAAGGTTGTTCTTAAAAAGGGAAAGACTCAGCTCTTCAAGGATGGAAGTCCGATGGTGTATAGTGGAGCAGTTGACAGGATAATAGGAAAACCACCTCCACAGACCGGAGATATTGTGATTGTCGCAGATGGCTCCGAGAAACCCATTGGTTGGGGTCTGTATAATTCTGTTTCTATGTTCTGTGTCCGTCTTATGCAACTTGAAGAGGAAGCAACCAGGTACAAGTTTCTCCCTTGTCTTGATTATATGCACAGGTTTTCTTGGGTTCATAGGTGACAAATATCTGTCTGGAAACCACAATCACACACTGTTACCTAATTCTAGGATCTTCAAGTTGTTTGCATCATATATACTATTCGTTAATGAATGCATTCATACCCCGTTGCTTGTGGCAGAGATCCTTCATGTACATTGAACATCGAGAAGCTTCTTGAAACAAGAATTGATGCAGCGGTGGAATTGCGAAGGTGTTTGGGACTTCCCTCAGCCAGTACAAATGCATATCGTCTTGTGAACAGCGAAGGAGATAGGTACAAAGCGGTCATATCAAACTTTACTAATGTCAAAGATCATGGCTATGAACTTAATTTCCTAACAGGTAACCTCAACTAATCAGTTAGTCACGATACTCTGAAATACTAATTTTTTCAGAAGCACTTCTTTGTCTCCAACTTTCAGTTATGGCAAATAGACTCTTGGACACAAATTTGTTCAAGTTTCAAGAATGCATGTTATAGGAAATACTAAGTTGGTTATGTTAAATTCATATGAAATAAATTTAATCATCTGACTATTTCAGGATCGACGTGAAGAACCTTTTTATGTATGTTATACCCTTCCGGTAGTTTGGACCAAACAGCCAAAAGAAAGAAGCTAGTGGACTATTATAGCTAACAGATTGTGGTCTAAAGCTAGTTTTATATCCAATCTTTACTTACATCTACAGATGAGGCCAAAAATAAAAAGAGAAAAGAAATCTGCCGTTCAATGCTACGGATAGAACGCTTATAGGGTTCTGGCTCTGAACTCACTGATTTCACCTAAACATGTTTATTCAGTCCCATTTTGTTCAGCCTCTCTGCCTTACAGTAGATATATCCATGTCAGTCTATTTAATGCGAGAAGACTTCTTCTTGTTGCTCTGCTACAGATTGTCTGGGTTGATCATCGATGTATTTGGAGATATCGCAGTGGTGGCATCTTCTGCTGCTTGGCTTGAAAAGTACAGGAATGAAGTGGAGAATTGTGTGAAAAGGATTAAAGGGATCAATCATCTGAACTGGAGACCATCTCTTGATATACTGAAAGAAGATGGATTTGATACCTCGAGTTTGAAACAAGTGCAATTGTCTGCTCTCCCACAGAGGACAAAGGTATGTCTTTCTAAAAAGAATATCTCTAATTGTTGTAAGCCTCAAATTAGAGTGAAGAGCGATTTTCTTTTGTAAGGTCGTAGAAAACGGGATTGCTTATGCTGTTTCCTTAGAGGGACAGAAAACAGGATTCTACGCAGATCAACGTGAAAACCGTCAGTTCATATCAACAATCTCTCATGGCCAGAGAGTTCTGGATATTTGCTGCTATAGTGGTGGGTTTGCTCTAAACGCAGCCAAAGGTGGTGCCACCAATGTCATAGGTGTGTGTACATTTTTTCTCTCTCGCGCATTCAAAACACCCCTAAAAACGGATGATATAAATACTGGAGTTTAGGAAATTGTTTGCTGACAGTGAAAATGATATCCTAGATCCAGTGCTTGATGAGATTATAGGGTTTGCTGCCAAAATCAGCTTCTTGTTGCTATAGTAATTCTATACCCTTTTGAGAGTAGTTACAAAGGTTTCCTCTTTGTGGCTCAGGGATTGATTCATCATCACCAGCTGTGGAGCTTGCGAGAGAGAATGTGATACTCAACAATATGGATCCAGAGAGGATCTCATTCCTGAAAGAGGAAGCTACAGAGTTCATGAAGAATGCTATATCAAGGAATGAGACATGGGACATCGTGATCCTCGACCCTCCTAAGCTAGCACCTCGCAGAAAGGTGAAGGAAAAAAAGAAACAGAACGTGTTCCATTCTTCAAGGGAACTCATGGTTGTAGACCGTGGTTGCGCAGGTTTTGAACAACGCGGCCGGGATGTACAGAAATCTGAACAGTTTGGCGATGAGATTGACAAGGAGAGGGGGTCTGCTCATGACATGTTCCTGCTCAGGGGCCATGACTCAGAGTGGCTTGTTCATGCGCACTCTTCAGGTTCTCCATGGATTTTGATGATCAGACATGACATAACTGCCTTCTTTCGTTGTTATGGTTTGCTTTTCTTATTATTAATTAAACAAAAAATGGCGGTGCTTGAAAATGGGCAGAGTGCAGCAACAATGGCGGGAAGGAAGATAACAGTGGTGAGAGAGGCAGGCGCTGCCTGCGATCACCCGCTTGACCCCTCCTACCCCGAAGGCCGTTATCTCTCCAACGCTCTCCTCCGTGTCCTTTAACATATTTTTGCCATTGCTGTTGTAACATGGATTGGAGTGTAGTATACATCTTTTGCTTATTTAGTTTTTCTTTTCCTTGCAGGCTAACTACTCTTAAATTAACAAAAAAAAACAGGAGTAACCGAGAAAGATACAGCCAGTTTCGTAGATATCTAATGTTTAACTATTCCCTAGAGGAGACACATACACTGCGGTGGGACATATAATCAGTTTGCCTTTCTACATTATTATAAAAATGCTACCGACCGCCAGGATTCCTGTTCCACGACAAGTAGGATGGATCTCCCAGTCGCCTGAAAACACCAAACCAAACAAACAAAAAACAAATTGCTTCATCAACTCATTCTGTCCGTCTTTTATATATGATAATAATAATATTAGAAGGAGAAAGGCAAAGGGTACCTACCTGGGCTTAACGAGATACATGACAGTGAAAGAGATGGCCAAGAAGAAGCAGATGCCACCGACAGTCAAGTAAGCAATGCCCAGGAAATCGTTCTTCCCACCCAACCAGCTGGTGGTAGACAAAACAAGCTTCTTCTGCCCATTGAAGCTGTAGGTGTTGTAATAGTTTTGCAGCGTGACATGAATGGTCTCACCTGCCTCCAGGTCCGTCTCTATCTTCCCATACAGCTTCCTAAACGTCGGCAGTGCTGCAGTTCTCATCCACACTATCAGGTCCTCTTGCTCGCTCAACTGCACATCGATATAAACCATCCATGACAATTTGACAACCAACACCCTTTTCTATTTGAAATGCATCAATCCCTGCTTTGCTTACCGGTATGTTTGGATCAAGGCTTGCACCTCCCGTCAGATTCCCCTTCTGAAAATTCTTCGGGAATACCTTTTCCCCAAACTTGTGCTCCCTATCACTCTTCCATGCAATACCTTTCTTGTTTACAGCTATACTTCGGTTGTTCCTTGACAAAACATACGTGTCATTGAAGAGACTCCAAGCAATTAGACCACACGGCACAATCGGCTGCCCCCCATTCTCATCCTCAGGCTTGCATGAATCTACCTTATTCTCATACTTTGGACTTCTCAACTGTGAATCACTTCTGCTTTTCACGTACCTGTTTGGAAATATATATCAATTAACTTTAGAATATCTTATCCATCTGATACCATACGTGCATATATCCATGCAAACCATCTGCTCTCTACATGTATTAGGTCTAAAATGTTTCCACCAAGCGTAGAGCACGTATGATACAATACAACCAACAAACCATCATTGGTTGTCAAGATAAACGCGATAAAAACAGGTAAAAATGGTAAAGAGTTGTGACCACGCACCTTCGATGATTCTGGTAGAAGTTTTCAAGCTGGTAATAAACATAGACAGGCTGCTTCATACGTTTCATCACCTAACAATATGAAAGGAGCAAAAAAAAGGACATAAAAAACATATCCAAACCCTAATAAACTCTCGAAGCAGAAAATCATATGTTGCAGCATAAGAAACTCACTCTTAGTGTTCGGTTACAAGTTTTATCTCCCGGTCCTTGTATGTATGCAACCTTGTTAGCTCTAGCAGGTGCTGGAATGCAATCGTTGTCGTACCTATCAACAATCTCAATGACCTGTCCATTGGAAGACAAGACAACACGTGAGACGATAAGGTGATGAAACCGAAATGTAGAGTTGGATTATCCGCACGTACATCCTGGGAAGCGAAAAGAGAAATAACTCCAAGGGGAATGAAGATAACACTGACGATCAAAAATGTCGAAATCACCTGCACCAAAGAAACAAGGTGGGGATTCAATCTTTTTCTATGAAATCAGCTATTTGATGAATGAGTCAGTAGAGATTGCCAATTATACTGCAAGTCAAATAAAGAAGCTAACCCAACAGGGCGTAAGAATTGGCTTGCAAGCTGGAAGCTCCTGCTGTGTAAACCTTGAATCTGCAAGGATTCTAACATTTTAGCCAATGCAACATTAGCCTTTAAGATTCCTAACTAACTTCCTAGTAACCCACACAAGAATATGCGCTTGTGATGTGAAATCAAAATCCTACTAATGCTTTCGCTAAATCCCTAGAGAATTTGAGACAACAGAATGTAAATTGCGCTTGCCCTAGTTCTGGATAGTTAGCGCTTGTAACAAGAGTAGAAACCCTGCAGAGGAATTCGCTATAAAAACCCTAGAGAATATAACCAAACCCAAACATTACATGTTTGAAGGATCATATGATAAAAGACAAACACCAAAATTCGTGGACGATAAGGGGAAAAAACTGGCGGAGAATCACATATTGGATGAGGAAGACGCCTAGATACCAAATTCAGGATTGACAATCGACAGTAAATAGGATAAATCAAACCCATCTCGGCAAACAACAAAGAGTCAACGTTAATCAGAAAAAAGAAAAGGAAGAGGAAAATCGGGGGAGGGAGGATGGGAATTACACTTGGGTCGCTTAGAATTCCTCCGGGCGGTGGAGGAATCAGCCGATCCGGCGGCCCCCGCGCTGGACGACGCCGTATTCGAACTCATAGCCTAGAACTTTGCCTCAGAAAAGCTTTCCGAGAAAAACGAAAAAGGGGGGAAACCAAGGAATCTAAAGAGAGCGAAATCGAAGGAAATGGAGAATCAGACGCCGAGAAATCCGGAGAAAAGAAACGAATTAAAAGACGAGTGATTGATTTTTCTGGGAATAGAAGGGGAAGCTTTGTCGGCACCAATTCTTTCTCTCCCTAGAAGGAACCCAGAAATTGAGAGAGACTAGCGGTAGCAGACAATCAACGAAGGGGACTGAAAGAAAGGAACGGTCAATAACACGGTTTTTTCATTTTTAAAATTTCGAATCTTCTCAGAGACTAAATTTGCATGGGTCAGTCTTTTCATATTTGGGCTTTAGAAAATGGGCCACATTTCTATGGGCCGTTCATCTGGTCCATCTGACTAGTCCATGTAAAAAATGTTAAAACGTAGATGATTTTATTTACGCACTTACCAATAAATAAAAAATTAAACGATTAGTTCCACTAAATTTGTGCTATACAAGTTTGCCACAATTACATGTGTGTATATGTATATATACACATTTTGGTTATAGGATTGACAAGTTGTACATCGGCTGATAGGAGAAAAATCAAACCCAAAGAAGGAATATATTCATTTAGAAGAATAAGTTGTGTGATGGCACATAAAAGTGGCGCTTGAAATGTAAGCTAACATGGCCTGGACTTTAAGCTATCTTTTTGTGCCAAGTCGTTTAATATCTTTACCAACACGAGCTATAAGTTAAATACCGACTTTGTCCCAATCATTTTACTAATATCCATCCGTATTAAAGACAGCTAGTGGCGAATCTTTTTCACCAAAATTAAATAAGCATACACGCCTCAGCTCTTTTTTTTTTTTTTTTTTTTTTCTTTATGTTATGCATAAATATCCTTTTAAATTTGATTAATCTCTATTACTAATTCTTTGTGTATTTTGGTGTTTCTATAAATAAGCATACACGCCTCAGCTCTTTTTTTTTTTTTTTTTTTTATCACTTGTGCTTGTATAGCTACTGGTCATGTCCATATCATAGTTTGTTGTTTTCGCATCCGTGTTTGAATATGAACACATTTCTTCTCATTGATCTTATTGGATTAAATCATTTTGTACACTATGAATATTCGCTTAAAATTAATGACGCGAGTTGGTAATTATTGCCTCCAAAAAAGACAAGAGACGTACATTAATTAAACGTAATAAGGTCCTAACGTTATGAAAACATTGAACAGCAGCCTAGGTAGAGGCCAGTATGAAGTGGTGCATGTATGCGTACACAGTTTACTCAGAACTATCAAAAGTGGCTTCGTGCAACTGATTCTAGGGTTATTTCTACAAGAGACCTCATCGTCATGTCCGCAAACTTCACCTAGAAAATGGCAGCTTTGAGATTTTTCTTTGAACGAAAGGGCAATTGGGTAAGTGCTGAAATAGACAAATTAAGCCTTCAATAGGCATCGGGCCCCATGCGCTTTATTTATTCGTTTATTCTATTTAATTTGTCTATGGAACCTCAGAGAAATGATTATTAAATGGCCTCCCGTATTCAGCGAGAGAGGGTACGTGGTGGTGGTGTGTTTTTAAATACATATAAGATCGATTCTTGGAGAATAATAAACAACGATCGGGAATTTGTTCTGTGAATCGGAAATAGAGAGGAATGTTGGGGATGGCGAAGAAGGGGATGATGAATGAGAGCCGAGGGATGTGTGTGCAAGGGGACTCGGGTCTCGTCCTCACCACTGACCCCAAACCACGTCTCCGTTGGACAGCTGAGCTCCACGAGCGCTTCGTTGACGCCGTCTCCCAGCTCGGCGGCCCCGACAGTACGTCCATCTTTTACTTCCATGTTCGAAATACCTGAATTTTGGTTGGTATGGTACATGCCTTCCGATGCTATTATACTAGATGTTTGTCAAGTATGAAATGATGCTGCTGCAATATGAAATAAATGCAGAGGCAACTCCGAAGACGATTATGAGAGTGATGGGTGTGAAAGGCCTCACGCTTTACCATCTCAAGAGCCATCTCCAGGTTTCAACTCTTCTTACACATACCCATTCATTCATTACCTTACATGTTTTTTTTCCCTGATGACCAATGTATATAAGAAGTGAATATATATATATATATATGGCCATGTTATAAAGACGTCAAATGTGTTGTTGTATTGGATTCTCAGAAGTTCAGACTTGGGAAGCAGCCTCACAAGGACCATAATCACGATCACTCTATCAAAGATACCAATAGAGGTGACGTGATTCTATATATATATATGTGTGTGTGTGTGTTCCTTTTTTTTTTAATGTGCCTAGTAATCATCTTACCACCCAGATTTTGTCTTTTTATAACCAACCATGATGACAACCCCATGTAAAATTGCTTGATGTAACAATAACATCAATATTATATTCATTTATCAAAAAAAAAAAAACATCAATATTATATGCCATACAACCTCGGTGTATAGATTAGATATGTTATTAATCTTCATGAAACGATACCAATGCATGCGTTGTTATTAAAGCTAATTTTGCTTCGTTGAATACGCGCAGCTTCGACGTTGGACCTTCAACGAAATTATGTATTCTCTCCTGGCATAATGGGCCATAATATGAACGAGTATGTGACCATATATACGATTCACGTATATATTCTCTTCTTTCCCACTCGGACCAATATTTTCATGCTCACCCTTCTTTACCATGACATGTATATTATTGTTCATCTGCCCAGGATGCAAATGGACGTCCAAAGAAGGATTCATGAGCAGATAGAGGTGCTCTCCCCCCCCCCCCCTTTATGCAAAGTTGGATTTGATATGAAAAATCGATTTGCAAGAATCAGCATGCTTAATATATATATGATTTTGAAAGTCAAGATGTTGAAAATGTACAGGTGCAGAGACACCTTCATCTGAGGATGGAGGCACAGGGGAAGTATATGCAGTCGATGTTAGAGAAAGCTTGTCAGACCCAAGCAACCCTCAAAGGCAACAACCAACCTGTTCTCATGGACCATATCGTCGGCTTCCCATCCTTCAACCAACGCCAAGAACATGATGCCCCTACAAGTTATGGCAACAAGAGCTCAGTCCTGTGGTTCGATGATCGTTTCCGACTCCAAGAACCCTCCTCCTCCCAAACCATCGACCCTTTAAAGGATCTCCCGTTACAGTTTGGACCTCCATCGGTTGATAGAGATCTCAATTCAACGTTAGATCTGTACGAGATGAAACTCAATTACTCTGAAGACGCTCCAAGTGTCATCAGCACCAGTAGTGCCGCTTGCCTCGAATAGGATGTTTCCTTCTTTTGATACCTAGCCGAACCTTTACAGTTACCAAGTTACAAGCTGTGATCAATGGAAACATGACTAATCTTGATTATATAGAGCTGTTGGCCATCTGATATGTATGCATGCATGTCGCCAGACATTGATGGCAACGTTTCTTGCTTAGCTGTAATTACTGAGTATATATTAGAAATCTTAACATGGTAATTCAGGGGGAGTAATATGACGACAATAAGGACAGTTTCCTTTCCTTTTTCATGTGGACGAGATGCGAATTTATCACAGTTATGTACTGAAGAAAAGGAAGTGGATAAGTATCAATGAGGGGTGAAATCGGAGAGGGAATGGCGATGCTTTTGTACAACTAAAACAGAGGCAGTAATGCTGAGATCGGCACAGAGGAGAAGATCTCCGACAGAACCCATCTCGGGACACTCTTCCCAATCATTCATCCCTGACGTCATCGGACATTCCGCTCTGCCTTTTCCTACTATACACAACGAATACGACTCTCCAATCTCCTTCACTACCCCTGCTGTCTCTCCTCTGTCCTCTACCTCCTTCTCTATGTATGTAACTTCACCCGATGCTACATACCTGAAACATGACACGGTTATACAAACTCTTATTATATGTATGCCAACGTTGTTCTTACACAGAGTGTTTGTTACCTGCTCCGAAACTCCTCTAAAAAGGTATTGTCACTTTCGTTCTCTGCATCTTCATTGGTAATAGACATCAACACCTCGTTTTCTCTGTGAGATGCTTCGGTAACTTGGGAATGCGCCAAGCAAGACTTGCGCAAGAATCTTATGAGAGTGAGGTGAATCTGAGGATGCATGGCTACCCATCGACTTAACGCCAAGGCTTCACGATCATCCTCTCCACCGAAGAACAACATTGCCACATTCTGCGGTATTTCAGACCCGTGCGGTTGTTGAAACCCCGTCTGGTTCCTGTCCATGAATATCCCCACTGAGCATGGCGACTGACGTAGAACCTGTATCAACACTTTCCAAATATTGCATTCTTTCCTATTTTGGTCAGAGGGCAGGAATCGTTTTTGTGTTTATCGAATAGAGTAAAGTGTACCTTCTGGTTAACGGTTCTGATCTCTTCCCCGTCATTCTTTATTTTGCCGTCAATCCTTTGGTGCTTGTGAAAAGGAAGAAAAACAATGGAGACTCGAAAATCTTCAGCGGCATCGCAGAGCTCCTGACAGATGTTAGACAGGGAGGAAACAATCCTGTACTGTTGAATGAGGACTTTGGTCTCTTTGGAAAAAGAGTCGACAGTGTCGTTGATCTCTTTAGAGTCGTTTGCACCATAGTCATCATCATGCCTGAACTCAGCTTCAACGTGGGCATCCTTTGGTTTTTTCTTTTTGGGGAGCTCTACAATTTGAGTCAACAAGGAAGTGAGGGGAGTCTGAGGTGAGCTGGTAAGGGCAGAGATTAAAGAGATAGCAGCAGTGGTCTGACGAGGACTGTAAACGCACGAGAGTATCCGGAGTTCGGTATCTATGGGGTGAGATTCGATGGTGGTTTGAGTGTGGACGAAGCTTGTTTCTTTCCTTCTACGGAAGGAAGAAGTGAGCATTCCTGAGAAAAGGGTGGTGATCACGATCGCTGATAGCAGTGTGTCAGCCACCTCCTTCAGCGGAAGCTGCTGGAGTTCGGGGTATGAATCGACAAGTTGGAGGCCAAAGTGACCTTTCATGCATAAAATGCAAGCCATGAATATAGCATGGTGGTTTGGAATCTTTGCAAAGCGACAGGCGAACAACACCCCGAGGATCTTCCCAAGGAGGCTAAGGGCGACTATAACGCCCAAAATGAGGTACTGTCCCGCATATCCGTGTTCTGGATCTTTCTCTTCTGCTCCATTCCTCGAGTGTGGTAAGGTAAGCCTATATCCTATGTACCCGAAATACACTGGAAGTATAAATTCGTGAACCGGGAATCTCAGCAGCTGCAGCATCGTCCTGTACGTCTTTCCCTCTCTCGGGAACATCAATCCCAGCATGAAAATGGGAACAGCAGAGCTGAGTTCACGAGATTCGATGAGAGTGGATAGGATTAGAATGATGACGATGAAGAACAAGACCTGAGCTTTTGAGATGTGCTTCTCCTTTGGGTACCATGTCCCGAACCAAGGTACCAAGTACCAGTTCGCTATTATAATCGCCAGAGTGAAGGATGACAAGAGAAACACGTCCAGGAAGTTGTGCTTTGATCTGAACGTGTACATCAAGGTGTAACCTATGTTCAGGGTCAGCTCGATGAGCAATGCGGTCGACACAGCCAGCCTCCCAATGTCCGAGGTGTCTAGTTTCAGATCGGAGACCATGCGATAGACGACAGGAGAGGCCGTGTTGGAGACGACGATGACGTCGATCAAGATTACATCGGTTTGGTTGGATTGGATGTGAAGAACCTTCAAGAAGAGCCATGCGAAAGAAATCATGAGCAAGGAGCATGAGACGACGCTGCAGACGGCAATGGATAATGCGCAACGCAGGCTCCGTTTCATGAAACTGAAGTCGGTCTCGAGTCCGATCAAGAACATAAAACAGACGCGGAAGAGGAAGACGAGGAAGTTGAAGTATGCCAATGACATGGTGGCCTTGTAGAACGAGTGCAGAGCTCCACTTTGCGAGAGTAGCGTTGGACTCAACACCATTCCCGCCTGATGATGACATCCACAACAACTGAATTAATAAACAAGAAGATTCTTGTGAATTGGAGATTTAATTCAAGAAGAAGAAGAAGAAGACCGACGATGATCTGAGCGACGGGGCCGGATTGGCCGAGGGGCTTGAGGATGAGGTAGAAGACATGAGACATGACGAGCATCAAACCCATTTGAAGGAACATGAGATTCAGAGGGTTGAGAGGGTCCTTCGTCGCGTCGTTCAAGCTCGGCAATGGCATTATGCATCTTCTCTGCTGTCCCTCCACCATCCTTGTTCTGTAATTTTTCTTCGATTGTACCACCAATTACCGTCGCCGCTCTATTACGATCGATCCTTGAAACAACCAGAGAGAATGTGGAGAATTATATGGGAGGGACTTGCGGCCCTTCCTCTTCTCTCTTCCTCCTCTTTCTCCTTGCATTCCGCTTCTCTCTCCGTCTTCTGTTATTACGTACTAGACTTATGGATCAATATATGGGCTTCTGTATAGCCCAACTTTCATGCCTTGGAAAAAGTAAGGCCCAAAACGCGTGCATATATTAGGATTACATAAAAATAAAAGGAAACAAATGAACAAATAAAAGGAAAAACAATATCAAAGAGAAGATGATGATGCATGATATGGTAGCCTTCTCTTGCGGTGATAGCGATAATGAGTCCAGACTGTTAGATATGGTTTTAGTGGTAAGGAAAATGAACCCACAAACCTTGGGTTATTGATTCTCCACTCAATTCTTTTTTCGCTGTAATAAAAGTTAATGCCATTTGGTTAATTTTAATCAGTGTACGTGGTATGCCAATCAAATTGTTCAAGAAGAACACAAAGAGAAGACCGCTTCGAGTGTTCCATGCGTGTGTCGCGCATCTTGTAATCTTCTACGCCTTCTTGCTTGGACGATGTCTCGATCTCTGCAGCTGCATTAATACAGATCCGGGGAAAGTCCTCCAACTCAAGTGGAGGGTACGGAAGCTGATAACTGGAAAACACTGGCATTAATGGCAGCTGTGGATCCTGCAGCACCGTTCAACGTTGGTATTAGGCTCGTATGAGGCTTTTTGGAAAGGGTGTTTGTATGTATGTATAGAAGATAATGTTTGCGTTGAATCATTAATTTTGCGAGAGGGGATAAGCTTTATGAAAAGACAAGTGGCTTCACTGCTTCTCCAACTTTTGTCCGTCTTTGAGATCACTCAAAGGTCCAATGCCAACACACCGACCGATCCACTCCAGATTCCTTCACCACTATCACACGGACCTCACTCTACGTACCTCCTGCTATTTTTCTACACATATATTATATATCCAAACTTTGCCTGAAAATCATAGTTATCAAATTTCCTGCT